AACAAATGAAGATTTTGTATATGCCAAATCACTCAAAATAGGTGCCCTCTCTGTATAGTTTAATCATTATGTGTTTCTGTCTACCTTCAATTCTAGACAAGGTTAGGTTTATGATTTCTTACAAATTGACAAACATTTGAACTTAATAATGAAGATAAATTTTCTTTAGGATTCAATTTTTATTTGAAAATTATGAAAACGAATGAAAAATTAAGATATATTGATATAAAAAAAAATCAATTCCATCATTTTTAAAGTTCATCTATCTCTGTATCATTTATGATCAATTCACCATTGCTTAGCAACAGAGGAGGAATAAATCTGTCGCATCTTCTGTTGCTAAGCGGCAAGACAAAATGATGAAGATACCGAGCATCTTGAAAAACGATCATTATAGAAATGCAACTTCCAACTGACAAATCTTTAACTCATGGATGAATAGTTTACTGACGCGCATAAGAATTAGGAGACATATTTCATGCTGGAGTTCTTTTAAGCCAAATGAGTCTGACTTTAGATCCCTTTTGTTCATTTATATAGGGCATCTCTACGTTTTGCTTATCCAACTGTATGAGCATCTTCACTCCAAGTCATGCGTCTGCATACATTATAGGTATATTAAAAGTAACGCTTCACTGATAACAGCGAACACATAAAGCTACGTTGTACGCACACATTCATGTTTTTGACACCATATTAGGATTCACATTGTATTTTTTACTTGGATTAAATCAATTTTCTTGAACGAAGAAACCATAGTAAAATTCTCGGTCACTCTTCCAAAACAAGGAATGTGATACATATAATACTCCAGTTAAAATTGCAGTGTCTTAGATTACCCACGTAGAATGACTATATGAAAAACAGGTCTTCTCGACCCCCCTGAGAAAAATATGCCAAAGCCCTGGAAGAAACAAGACAGAGTTGAGAAAGTGATTGATGCACATCAGAGATTTGCAAACGAAGTCATAACAAAACTTATAATTACATGAAGATAAATTAACTGAGATTTCATTGTGATTAGGTGTGAACAGAAGAAAAGTGATGTGTTGTTTTAATGTGACATTGTCACCTTTCAATGTCGCGGGTCTTTTAACAAATCACTGGTGACTGTTTACGCTGAGACGCTATTATTTAACAACCCACTGTATATAAGTTTGAACCGACCCTAGTTACTTTCTAAAGAACTATACATACTTAAACAATTGGTTACTAAGGTTATTTCTCCACATTGTGAGAAAATATGTCCCCTTTGTGATAACTTTGAGGTAAAATAAACAAAAAGAGTATTTATAGTCTATTGTGGGGCTGTATCTTGATACCTGTACATAAATAACCTTAGGGTCTGGTGACGGGGATGATGTTAATACAGTACATATACATGTATATATACATACCAACATTTTGTAAGGTATTTTGTATATTAATTACAGTATTACTGGTACTTGTTCATACATCAGAAAAAGAAAACAAATTCTTTAAGGCGTTATACATATATCGAGTGAAACTCCAAAATTCCCATGATGTATATTATTATTATTAAATCTATTATTATATTTTTTATCACTTTCATATTTACAATTCACATAAATAATTTAGTTACCATGCTACCACATGTTTATTTTGTGTTGTTCATTTCTTTAATGTACAGTTTTGTCTTGCGGATGTTTGAAATAAAATATCATGTATACTAACTATCCTATAGCAATATTTTCAAACCGTGGGAATTGAATGAAAGGGATTAATAAACTGAGTCTAAATAACAGCTTCAAGGGTTACGACTTGGGGGTCTGTAACTATCATCTTCCATTTATGAAACCACGACAAATCATGAACCGTTCTTAGGGTCAGAAATGATCCATTAATTGATTGTACAGGTAGATATTTTATTTAGGCAATTATGCTAATTAAGTAATTGTGTATGTTCCTTTATTCTCAAACTCAGTGATCCATTTCTTTGCATAGAGTACATGGTATGACAGCTTGGAATGAGATGTATAGTTCAAAGTTCACAGATGTAACGCTCACAAGTTCTTGCTTTAGGTCCTTGGTTACAGCATTGTTTACATGGATACGCAGCTGATATGCACGCCTTGATGATAAAATGTTACTTTAGGTTATTATTAAGTGTTGATAGCCTACTTTATATTGATTGAAATCCACTCCAGTCGTGACAAGTTTATCTTTTCCAACTTTGCTTTGTTAGCTTTTTTTTTATTTTAGATTTGTTTTAGTCTTGTAGTGATGTCTTTTGCTTTTTTTGGACATTACCTTTATACTTTTGTTTGCGTATGTTTCAAATAAAAATATCTTTTTAGTCTCTCATAACATATATCATATCATATCATATCATATCATATCATATCATATCATATCATATCATATCATATCATATCATATCATATCATATATCATATCATATCATATCATATCATATCATATCATATCATATCATATCATATCATATCATATCATATCATATCATATCATATCATACTGACATTGCCCTTGATATACAAATTAAATGCAATGAGACAACTGGTCATCGTTTTATTATGTCCATACAGTGCAGGTTTTACCAAAACTCTGTCAAATGGAAACTGACTCAATCATAATAGTACAATTTTCATCAAATTGACTTTCAGAGTGGTCAATTTTCTTGCTAAAATGTTGGTGCAAAATTTTTCCCAGTTAGTACCGGGTACTTTTCTTTAAAAATTTTTTGTTAATTTTGGTTCAAAAGGAAATAACTTCTCATTATTGACAGGTATTACTCTAAAATGTTAAAAAAAATCTGGAAAAATTATGCAAGTTTTTATTTTGTGAAAAGTAAGACTTTGGAGTTGAAAGAGCTCAGTATTCAGTTCATTTATTTTACTGACATTGAATAACAAAATAAACATATAACCCGACAAAAGATTTACTGATATCCCCATTCTATTGATTTTTTTTCACCAAAGAGTGGATATCTACCCAATGTTTATAATTGTAAACAAAGAACAAGGAAGTGTTGTTGAGTGACATCGTCAAGTTATATATAGCAATGAGCAATACAACAGTGGTGCATGGTTTGACGTTATTACTATAAATAACCATGCAGATATTAAATAAGGAAAACAGCAGTTTCCTTTAAACAACACAAATCGTGCCACTTTTATGTGGTTTTCTTTGTTAATTTTGAAACCAATATACTGTAGAATACTTTATTTTCGCTTGGAATTGATTTTCGCTATTTTCGCTGTAGGAATGATTCAGTGAAAATAAAATCCAGCGAATATACCTGTTTCCCTA